GCCTGATAAATTATTTGATAAATAAAGCTTTACAATGGCTTTTTGTCAGAATTGATCTTGTGCCCCCAGTATATATACTACTACAATATATTTCAAATGACATTAATACCATTCATGCTGATTTATCAAAACAATGAATGTTATTGAATCAAAATTGCACCTGACAGTATTCCAACCATTTTACAGCAGTGTGTACATAAATTAAAAGCAGGCCAGACAAACCAGTGATTGTCAGCATGAGCAACAATCCATGCAATCCAAGTACGAGGATGCAGAGTGAGTGAACTCAAGAGTTTGTCCACCCAACCAATCACTTTAATCATCAAAGAGTTGCAAAAACATCTGGTCTTATTTATTTTAATCAGGCAAAGATCAACCCCAGCTATCAAATTCCTGTTTATCTGTCTACCGCTAGTGATGCTCATTCCTCCAGGGATATCTGAACAATTAGACCAATATTCAGCCCAAAGTATACAGCAACATCAGCAATTTGTGTTTCACTGATAACTTTGCCAATAAACAAGAGGCTTTAATAATTAGTTTTACATTATGGGATTAAGTGTAAAGATGTGAATAATGTAGGTGAGTAAGTATGGTTTAACACCACTTTTAGCAATAAAAGATCCCTGACCGCGTCATACCAAAAGACGTTTAAATATGGTACTTGTTGGTCCCTGCCTGGCGCTCGGCATTAATGGGTACAACAAGGACTGGTCGGCTCGGGAGTCAGTATACTGTGTCTGAGGGGGGTATTCATGCTTCACTGCAGCATGGTATCTCAGTGACCTAGCACTATAAAACCAGCTTAAGTCTGGGCTAGTACAAGCAGCCGCACATACATATACACACGCATGCACGTCATCATATGAGCGAAATATTCTCAAGCACGATGTTAAACCCAATTTCACCTCACCTCACCTCACCTTTTAGCAATATACCAGCAATATAACAGCAGAGGACTCCAGAAATGGTGAGAAGAAGATACCTTTTAAAATCATAAACTAACAAATTATCAATTTTTCCCCAATTTGCCATGGCTGGGACAATGAATTAGTTTGGAATCCAAGTTAAATCAGTCACATCCGGATACAGCATTGTGAAGGTCATGTTTGGAGGCTCATGACCATGTGACAGCTACAGTGTTGAAGCGACAGACTACCTGTGCAGTCATATGACGCACGCTGGACTTTGGCCCACTTGTGGAGACCTTTAATCCTACATCCTTTTTATCAACTCATCTGCCACATTTCAGTTTTCATCACCATGAGTCATCCAAGGCTGACCCAACATTTCCTGCCTTAAACATCAACATGTCTGATCTTGGATCTAATCTAACCATTTCTCATGAATCCCAGTGGCTAACCGTTCTCGTGACTTTTATGACAAAGGAAAACTGTAGGCAGGTGATCATAAAACTAGATGTTATGAACACAATCACGTTCTACGATCACATGAGTTTTACTTCGACTGCATAGGTTATGAGGGGGCCATATTTGTGTCCAAGTTTTATACAATTTATTGCTTGTTTGCTATTTGTCTGATTTTCCCTATTGTAATTCAGATGTGGGTTGAGGAAGAATAGGGTTTAACTACACATTTGAAAGATTATTGCATACATATACAGAAGTGTGCATACACACATGTGCCCAAACAAATTCCACCTGTAACACTTTCTTGATGGCCCTCATTTCAACATTTAAAATAATAGACTTCAGTGACAATTTCAAATTTCAAAACAAGGTAGCTGTTCCTCTAAAATGAGGTGTCATTGTTTGTCAAAACATATCCAGGCAATTTGGAGGATATATTCAGTTATGGAATAAAACAATTGTGACTTTTGCAAAGTACTTATTTCATTAAGTTTTAATATGGCTTCCATGCAACAATGCAAAACTTACAGACCCTAACAGTTATATTCGGACACTTGACATAACTTCCACAGACTTACATGTTAATTTAGTGTAGCATAAATAATTTTCATGAATTTAATTTTTGTATGATCCAAGTCATATTTTGCACATCTGTGAGGAATCATCTTACCTACAATTACATAATTTGTTTAATTTTCCATTGCTTATTTATCGAATTTAATCAACATATGTACAGTGCCGTGAACTTCTTTAACATGGCGGCCTATGGGATTGTGCATTTTGGAACTATACGTAAGTTGATAAATGTGGTGTCATTAGTTAAACAGTGATCGGAAAATTGAACTGAATTTATATGCGCAGAGCAGAGATGATTTCAAATTTTAGGTTTAGGTCTAACCTAAACTCACTTCATGAAAATTATTTATGCTACACTGAAATAACATGTTGTAAGACTATGGAAATCATGTCAAGTGTCCGAATATACATGGCACGAGTCTGTAGCAGTCTCTTTGACAGCCAGTGTTTCATAAGTCAGCTCTACAAAGTCATAACATTAGATAAAACTACACAACATGAATCGATAATTTCTTAATTCCACTGTGGGTACATTTTACAGACATTTATTGCAGATCTGGGGCAAATATTACCCTTTGAAGAATTCTAGATAAATCCCTATAAGGACATGTGACTTTTGCTGAAAGAATTAATATTTAAACAGTATGGCTTGCATGCTACAAGCTGTTACGAACAGTTTTCGTACAAAAGATGAGAATCATCCAATCGATAATTAGCAAAAACTCTGTGTCATTTACAATTACAAATAATTATCACAGTCAAGGGATTTTAATGGAATGTTTTAAACTGACTTGTTGGGATTCAACATAATGATCTGACATGTAATGAAGAAATATACATCAATATAGACGTGTCTTGTATCCCAGTTGCAAAACAGGAGGCAACCCTTTCATGATGATACTACTGACAGATAGATACCACTGGTTATATCTAACTAGTCCAAAGGTTACTGTGGTCAAATGGACATGTGGTCATGTCATGTCAACACACACAGTTGCTGGAAAACGTAAATCTGGGAGAAAGAAGCGTCAATTTACAAGGAGCAGATTTACAATTAGCAGCCCTGGATCAAAGAGGATTTTTTCAAGCTGAGATACTGCCACAATTCTTTCAGTTTGAGGATCCTCACGATTATAAATGTAAGGAAGAGAGTTTTATGGATCTTTATCCTTACGTGTATCACTTCTTAATGCCATTAAAGACATTATAAATGTAGGTCCATAATATGACAGACACGCTCATTTGTATATACATCTTTGAGTGAGCTAAACATTTGTTGTTCTGCAGACTTTAGTATGCCAAACTTTGGTAAAGTCAGTCATGGAAGTACAAAATGGAACACGCTGGATGGGAACTTTCATGACTGTGCTGCTTGAAATATATGTTCTTATAAGATTCATCATATATTAACTAAGCTCTCCAGACTGAGGAGCTCTATCTACAGAAAGGTATCCCTGGTATATGTTTTCAGAATCCTATGCCACCACTCCAACAGCTACATAATCGCGTTTCATTGCGGATTTGTAATCTTAGAATTATCACTGTTTAAAATAACATTTGTCCACTAGGTTGAGACTAAAGCTGGAATTTCCTGAAGTGTTAGTGATGTTTCCTTGTTGAACAATGTACCACTTTCACTTTCTTTAGATGGCAGCTCTTTTGCGTCTTGCTTTTATGAAACATTGAAACTAAAACCAGTTTCCAAACCCCAATGATTACTTTCAGTACACATTTTTCCTCATCAGTGAAATTTGATCAGAAGAATTTGTGTGGAGTGTTGAATGACGTGTCATGGTTCATCAACTTCCTCAGAAAACTCATGTGAATATCTTCTAAGGTATCCCAGGTATATGTTTTTCAGGAACCTATGCCCAAACCACTCCATTATTGAGTTTCATGGTCTATAATCTTAAAATCATCAGTGTTTGAAATAACATTCATTAGGCTAAGATTAACATGATTAAGGCTGATTAATATGATTGCCTCGATTGACCTGGAGATAGAAGCAACTATCTATTATCATCTCGTACTGCTATTTTCTTACTTGGCACAATGGTACAAGCAAATGACATTATCAAACGTTTACTAAAGACAAGTAACAAATCTAAATAGTTTTAATATTAAAAGTTATTTAGGAATTACATTACGATTAGTAATATCATCATGTTTTTAACCCAAAACATCTTAAGCTTCTATTCATTTGGATATAAGGTAACAATAACATAACAAAATAATTTTTTGCCACCTTAAAACGTGCCATACAATTTGTAGCCGGGTGAAGTTACACAATATGTCACTTCCTGGTATATTTTTAGAACAGAAAATATGCAAATGAACTTATAAGTTGTCACGGGATTACTCTTTATGAAGTAAGTTTTGATTCGTGCAAGATGGTATGGCGGTAGGGGTCATACTAGTTTCAAAATGTCAGACAAGTTACTGCAAAGATGAATACTTCAATATTTCTATGATTAGACATGACATTCCAATGAAAAAAATGACTTTCAAGAGCGATGAATTTTTTTTAACGCACAGCCAATGCAGGGCGTGGTGTTTTTGCTTCTCCGATTATTTCTTTGTTGACAAGCCTACCACTTTCACTTTCGTTAGCTAGCAGCTCTTTTGCAGATCGTTTTTTGTGAAATAGCGAAACTAACATAGGAAAGAAATTATTTTCCAAACCCAAATGATTATTTTCAGCACATACATTTCCTCATCATAAGTGAAATTTGATCAGAATTTGTGTGGAATGTCAGATGACAACCTGTCATGGTTCATCAACTTCTTCAAAAGAATCGTGTGCGTATCTTGTAATTAGATCTTGTAAAGTTTGGGGGTTCAAGAGCCTGATTCCAGCAACCTAGACCAGCTACGACTGTGACTGTCACTCTGACTAGGACTGGTTTTTTTTCCATGATAAAGGCACTGTTTCAACAATATATTCCACAGCTCGCTCAAATTGTTATGTTCTTGTCACGGTACTTGGTTGTACTAGTAGGCCAAGATCCCCCGACAAGTGGAAACTGTTGTCAACATTTATGGAACTTTACTCACCTTGGCTGGCAAATGCCAACACCAGTAATGCGAAGAAAGTCTTCATGTTGATCCCTCAAGAGCCAAGACAGGCCGCTGCGTCTGTAACACTAGTGTAGAACGATATACCAAGCGCAGTTCAGGACACTTTACAACTCACGTGACTCAAAATCATATGACTTCCGTTAACAATAATATCGCAATTTGATTGGTTGTTTCTCTCAATCTAGACTTGCTGAAGGGCTCTTATCGTGTAAAATTCTTTTAACGAATCAATTCCGAAATCGATCTAATTTAATTAACACAGCGGGGGTATTTGTGCAATTTGAGAAATTGTTTTACGATTCATCACCGCATGTTTTATATTAAATAGTCAAATTACAATAGTAATTATAATTTCTACGTGTGTCAGTGGACCTCCAGACCTTAATTTGTTCTTCTCTCACTGGTCAACCTGTCACTGAATCCTGCGAGTCTAAGTACAGTAAACATCTGAAATGTTCTTTTAAGATTTTGTTAATTAGTTTTCATTACTCAGCGTGCGCAAAATGCATGGCAGAGGGTACAGTTGCGTGCTTTTCGGGATTTACTCAAAACGAAAAAAGAACACTTCAGCATTCTTCATTTGTTCAGTTTGCTCACGTCACCTCGACGTGGCTTCGCTTCAAGGTGTATGCGCATCTGGTCAGAGCTTCTGTACATAGTATTTTAAATTGTCCTATATTGTCATGTGGCGGCTTCAGTTGTATTCAATACATATACAATCTTCAAAAAAGAAACGAATAGGCCATAAATATGGAAATGTCTTATACAGTATTTAAGTGTATAAGTCGATTAAGCTTGAACTTAGATGAAGGAAATTCGACACTCGAATGAACATATGTATTGTTGTCATTTTCATTATTAATTAAGTTCAGTCACTGAACATGTGTGGACACAAGGGGGCGTTCAGGTCAGTACCTGGTGACACCACCCTTACAGAAGTCACTGCTCGACACCGCCTTGGAAAGGATTTTGGCTTGTGGAATTCTTCGCCATTCCTCCGGCAACGCGTTGGCAAGTTCTGCAAGTGTTTACGGACGCGTCTATCATGATCGTCTCATAGATGATCGATCGGGTTCAGATCAGGCGATTTGGAAGGCCAGGGAAGGACATTGACGTTTGCATTGGTGAGATAGGTACCTGTTACACGAGCTGTGTGCGGCCGATCGTTGTCGTGTTGAAACACTTCCCTCTGGCGGTTAAAAAGTGGGGGAAAATGAGGTCGCAGTATCGGTCGATGTTGCGATTTGCTGTAAGATTGCCTTGAACCACCATTAGCTCTGACCTACCCGTGTAGGACATGGTTCCCCACACCATGACGCTTCTCGAACAAATCTGTCCACCTGTCGAACGCAGTTCGGGGTAAAACGTTCTTGTTGATGTCGATAGAGACACTGTCTCCCATCCCGTCGTTGCAGGAGGAAACGCGATTCATTGCTGAACCAAACGCGTTCCATTCGTTCCCCAGGTTCCATGCCTGTACCCTGTTGCACCATTGGACACGTCGGTGTAGTCGTGTCAGGACAGGTCCAACGTTTGGTCGTTATGCTCGAATTCCCACTTCTCTCAGACGATTTCTGATGGTTTGGTCTGAAATTCTTCGAAGAGCAGGCACCTGTCCTGCAGTGTCCGTTAAGTAGCAAATCGGTGACGTAGGTGAAACACCCGGATGAATCGGTCCTGATCAGGAGTGGTCAACTTTTGTCTTACACTTTTAGGATGATCTTATGTCGAATTGAAGCGGGTATATCGATGTCATAATCGAGATATGGTGCTGTGGCGAACGTTGAAGTGTCTTTCAACGGCAGACTGGGACTCTCCTGCTTCCAAACGTCCAATGACGATATTTCGGTCAGTAGCATTCAATCTTGGCATTTTTTATCTTCGTTTACGTCGTAAATTTCGTAAAGAAATTATGAATTTGGATTGGCCTTTTATAGTCGATGTCTCTACTCATGTGTCCGACATATTGCACGTGCATTACGTGGAAAACTGCATGCATGCACTTTTCATCTATCATTTTCATTTTTTTATGACAAAAGTTTACAAACACATTTTGGGATGCGTTTGCGGGCACTACACAACAACCACGACATGATTAACGGGATTCAAACATAGGAATTGTCTTAATGACGACTGCTGTCAAAATATATCGAAATGAACTGCTGAAAACGCCTATACGTTTCTTTTTATGAAGAGTGAGTTTAGTTTTACGCAGCACTCAGCAACATTCCAGCTATATGGCGGCGGTCTGTAAATAATCGAGTCTGGACCAGACAATCCAGTGATCAACAGCATGAGCATCGATCTACGCAACTGGGAACCGATGACATGTGTCAACCAAGCCAGCGAGCCTGACCACCCGATCCCGGTAGTCGCCTCTAGCGACAAACATGAGTTACTGAAGATCAATATTCTAACCCGGATCTTCACGGGTGTTTTATGAAGAGTGAATCTCGTGGTTGTTTGTTTACTAGTCGATATCGAGTTGCAACAAATATGTGTGTCCGGTTAATTAATTAAAAAAATAATATTATCATGGGACATCACGGGACATCACGTTTTCCTTGTTGCAAACTGACGAGGAAATTGACGAGGACATAAACTGATTTGTGTAATATTTGATTTAGATATTCGACCAAACATTGTTGTTTGTCGTTTATAAAGATCACGGGAACATATTTAGGAAATCCCCGGTTTCTAAGACAGTTAAGGTACGGGTGGAGTGGCGGTTTCAGGGTGGGAACTTAAATGGGATCTGATTGACCGAGGAATTATCCATGGCTAGTCTCTATTCGCCTACATCTCAATTCGCCTACATCCTATTTCGCATACAAAAACAATGTAGACTAAGTGGGATTAGAAAATGCATCCCTACTCTTATAATGAACCTGACTCACTGGTCAGTGCCATAATAATTAGGTAAATCTTCCAAATTATCCTTACTCCATGTCTAAATTATTGTTTAACGACACACATTTTGGAAAATGTAAGCATAAATGGATAATATTATTAAATATTTTTTTGACGAAATTGGACTTAGTTATATCTGGAATTCCCAAATTTTTTGAATGTAAACTAGAAGAGGCGTATAAGCAAGTGTGGTTGTCTACGGTAGAACATTCATCAAAAGGTATCTTATATAGCACCTTATCTAACTTATATTTAAGGTTGAGTAAATATTTGGATATTTTAAATGATAATTGTTCACAGGCATTGTTACATTATGAAACAGCAAATCATAACTTACACATTAAAACAGGCCGCTGGAGCAATAATCAAAAACGTGATAGAATATGTAAACTTTATAATGGTAACGATGAATTTCATTATTTATTTATTTGTTCTCACTTTATAAATACAAGAGTTACATATTTAAAGCCATATTTTTATTCCAAACCAAATTTTCATAAAATGTATACATTATTCAATAACAATAAGAAAGGTATTCTTAGAAAACTCTGTATATTCTGGGATGTTACCTCTGGGCCCGCCAATGAATGTAAGGTTATTTAGTTATGGAACATGTTGTACTGTCAGGTGCAGATGGATGGGATATTGTTCCTTTACGTTCATATTCATGGAGACACTTGTCGAACTAGGTAACTGTCTGATATTTTTGATGATATTGCAATCATTTCACAAATTCATTGACAATAAGAATTTTAAAAGCAACATCTAGTCACAGGGTGAGGTGAGGTGAGGTGAAATTGGGTTTAACGCCGTGCTTGAGAATATTTCGCTCATATGACGACGTGCTAGTCACAGGGAATCGCTCTAGACCATGCAGTGTCAATTTACCGCGTATGAGTTTTTCGGGATTGTAACGGGAAATACTTAGGTTCATTGTGTCTTTACTCTACACCCCTTCAGTTTTAACATGGGAGCTTTAAACTAGCATATATATGATCCACGTAATAAACTTCGAAGGTTAATTAATCATCGGTTAATTAAAGGGTAATTATGAAACTCTCGAGGTTCCCCCCACAAGTGTTATTATTTGATTGATCATTGTTCTGTAATGGAACCTATTATATAATGAAGCGCATGCCATCATAGACAACAATTTCTTATTTATTGCCTAGAGTATTTCGATTCTCACACTGTTGGCGTCCAGTGTGTTGAATGTCCAACAAAGGGCAGATAACTCTTATCTTCGTGAAAATAGTCATTACAAAGAGTTCAAAATGGCGGCTGTAGATGTATCAGTGTACAAGAAAAGGTAAATATTTCCAATTTAGCCTTTTGGGTCGCTTGCAATTGTGTTTTGGAATCGCATGTAAGGTTAATAATACTGTACAGAAAAGCTTTATGTGAAACAATCTCGATTTCCCGTTGGTATTTGTAGATAAAATATCTTTTCATGTGATCGTCTCTAGACGCGGCTGCCATGTCTGCTCACAATTATTTGTTCAGTGGACAGCGGTGTTTGTTTTGTTTCGAAAACTTCATTTCTGTCTTGTTCTAACATTGCAGTAACACGTTTCTTACATATATTAATTGATTGTCGCCGTCATTGTAAATAAAGTAAGAGAAAAATTCAGCATGAAGACGCTTTTGACTAAATTATGAAGATGGGTGACGCTAGCCACAGTTTGTGTAGACTTGCTGGGGCTCCAAATCGTGAAAAATAGTCCCCCCGACCGATGTTTTGTCGCATTTACGTGGATGGTATAACAAACATAGGTGATAATCTTTACATCATTCTGTTATTTAAACATTTCTTTTGTAAGTGATAATAAAAAAAATGATTTTGTGCGTGCAAGAATTAGATTTAGGCAAAATGATAATTTTATTCTTAAAGCTGACATTTTTGGACAACACATTGAAACATACTTTGTTTTGTCGCATTTACGTGGATGGTATAACACACAAAGGTGATAATCTTTTCATCATTCTGTTATTTTAACATTTCTTTTGTAAGGGATAATAAAAAATGATTTTCAGGGGTGGAAATAACCCATTGCCCAACGCCCGAGTCCAGTGTTTTTTTCTGTCGGGCGAGCAAATTTGTATATCACACTGCACCGGTGTCCAGTTGACTTTCCAATATTAATTATGTTGTTTATTTAAAAAATCAACAAGAAAACAGACCGTATAGTGGAAAAATTATCAGGCAAGTGATTTTACATGTGCCACTGTACCTGAGTACACTAGCAATTTTAAAGTTATTTCCACCCCTGATTTTGTGCGTGCAAGAATTAGATTTAGGCAAAATGATAATTTTATTCTTAAAGCTGACATTTTTGGACAACACACTGAAACATACTTTGTTTTGTACATTTCATAAATTACGTTCAAAAATAAGCAATGCTTGATAGTCATAAATGTTATAAATGCAGAAACTCACATCTAGCCATTGATTGATCTTTCATTTTATCATTTCAGTATGGGAAGTACACAGTTGTACAAGGAGGCCCTGGAACAAACAGCAAGTTTCAACACACGTATGGCCATGGAGCTCAAAATGAGATTACCATTCCTAGATTCACAGACTGGCTTGGCACAGAATCACAGCAACCTGTGGCATCCTTATATGAACAGACAACCAGGTAGTCATGAATTCATTATATATGGAAATACATAGGGGTTCAGGACAGTATACTTGGTACAGGTTCCTGTAACCTTTGCTTATCTTGAGACCACAAAATGACAAACAATGAATCAAGTGGTTGCCATATGAGCTGGGTTTGATTATTGCTCATACATTCAAGCAGCTGGCTCAAGCTTGATTTAGACATATGCTTGCTGGCCATTACAACATTGCTCAAATATTGTTAATGTGTCCAAAAGTCTCATTCACTCTGACCAGTTGGCTCCGAGGCATGACCATGATGATCCACTAAGCTCCAGACATTAAATATGTTCTGATGCAAACAGGATACATATGTTGGTACCAATGATAAATTAAACTTTAAGTTAGACACAAGGTGTTTGTTTGCTGCTGGGTACATTCTACTTGTGATTATTTTCAGGCAATATATATGGTCAAATCTACTCATATCCTGCCAAGCGATGGAAAAAGAAAAAACGCTCATTCTTTGCTGCTGAGGTTCGTCTAGCACGTGCAGGGGACATTGAGATGGGAGAAGCAGGTGAGCTTGACGGTTATATTCTTGATTGCTCAATGATAAATCCAGGTCAACTCACCCCCTGGATATTTTGATACTACATCATAGTCCCCAAAAATGAGTTACCTAACTGCAAAAAGTTGGACTGTAACTAAGTACTGGTTGACCAACCTTGACATTTGACATGCATTACTTATAGAGAAGAAAACAATGCTTTCTTAAATGCATGGTGCTGGGACTCAATCCCAATGTATTAACTCGTTCAGTTCTCTTATGTTCTGTTTGCAAGTCAACCATGACCCATGTTTCTTTTGAAAAGATGTAAGGGCCAGTAAACTAAGAGGTTGTTCTTTGGATGTGGTTGAGATTCATTTAACTATTGTAATGAAAAAGAAACTGTTTAGAAGTCTCTGTTTGAAGGAGTACTATTGTTTTTGTTTGCATTATATCTTGTCTTGTCCACTAACAGTAACTACAACATTTTCAAATCACTGTCTTCCCCGTTTTATTTTGATGTTTTCATCCTACCAACAGCAGTCAACCAAAATAAGTCCACGATCCAAGTAATAAAAAAAGGTTGGCTTTATCTTCATTATGTTCATGAATTTGTTTTGTTACCCGTGTGAAAGAATATAATATGTAATTGATTAGTATCTAACCATGCTAACATTTAGGATTATAATGTTGATCTATGTAACGTAGAATGCACTCTGTATTAATTCCTTATCAACATGATCAACCTGTGTTGGCTCCCATTGAGAAATATGCCGTGTGTTGATTCAGAGACAGGTCCAAATCACCTCAGGTGATTAGCTGACTAGTGAAGCTGGAGTGGTTGGACCCATTGAATATACAGTCTACAGTCATGGGATTGCCCAACCCACACTTGATTCCAGACTGTTGTAGTACTTGTGTGGCTGCAATATTGCCGATGTGAAACGCAATTCACTCATTACACCATGTTCACTCACTTACTCATTCACTGTGTTCACTCACTTCTTCACCGTGTTTACTGACTCACTTCTTCACCATTCACTTGTTAATTGAGGTCATGCACATTAGGTCATGTGCCAATTTTGTCCCATGTACTGTTCATTACCACCAATTAATCATGGGCTTTCTATTAGGAGCTGGGGGCGGTGGGGTAGTCTAGTGGTTAAAGCGTTGGCTCGTCACGCCGAAGACCTGGGGTCGAATCCCCACATGGGTACAATGAGTGAAGCCCATTTCTGGTGTCCCCCGCCACGATATTGCTGGAATATTGCTAAAAGCAGCGTAAAACCAAACTCAGTCAGTCAGTCTATTAGGAGCTGTATTGGTTCATTAAGTATTTGAAAATCAGAATACAGATTTTACTAAGTAGGGATTGTGTGTATTCCTAGGAAAGGGGCCCCAGAACACCCCACACCTATCATTTTGTTATCAAATGCTGAAAAAGGGAACAGGCTGCTTTATATGAATATGACCGATGTAACTGTAATTACGTGACAATGTGAATAGGGTCGTTAATACTTAATATAGAAGAGGTATGTTTGAATCATTTGTTAACAGTTTTATTACTCTTTGAGATGACAATGACACAACATCTAAGATGGCCTTGATCAACTTGGTACCAGTAATGTTTAGAATTGTTATGTTGGGACTTACTGTTGATAATCATATGCCAAATAGTAAATATAGATATTACCAGTGCCTTGAAATGAATATTTATGGCTAGTCCCAAGCCTAAGCCTAGTAAGGTAAGCTTATAATAGTTCATGAAATTAAATTCTCCTGAAATAGTTCAATTAAATTCTCCTGAAAATAACACAAAGATACGTTTGGTCTCAGTCTCAAAAGAGTTATGCACAGACTGAATTTGCTCTTGGTAATGCATGCAAATATAAGCTAGGTAATGCATGCAAATATAAAGCTACAAGTTATGTTACTGCGAGGTGCTCTGACTCCTGATGGTTTCAACTTGTCATGTCCTTCGAAGACCTTCTTTCACTTCATCAGCTTGCTAAACACATGACATCACTAGTGACTAGTGATATGGACATATCTGAGCATGTGTCTATGTATTTCAGACATGCATCAAATAAGTGCAGTGGAGAACCCTGCCCACAGGGGAAAAGAAGATGAGGATGTACTGGAACAGAAGGCTGAGTCCCAGGACCGTTGGTTTGAGGACTTTGATATGCTCAGTGATCCCCCAGATGCTGGGGAGATGGTTGATGATCAGTCAGATATCAGTGATTATGAAGATACAATTAAGAAAAAGAAGAAAAAGGTGAGTGGTTTTTTAGAAAAGTTACATTGACACAGGAAGATTATGGCTGTGTTTCATTTTGTCCCATTTTAGTTGACTAAATAATGAAATCATATAGAGACACCCAGGAAAGTAATGTAAATCAGAGTGCTCTCACAACATCGATAACATTAGACAAGCACAGATTGTTTAAACATTGACAATTCCAAGGCTGAAAAATTCTTTGCATTTAATTAATTATTGTGAAGTTTGGAGTTTATTTCTACTGGTAAGTGTGAGTTATGTTTAGGCCGAGTGTGGGCTGAGTATGTCATGTTTGCTGTTGCAGGGACCAGGACGAGGAAGGAGGAAGAATGTAGACAAAGATTTGATGCCAGAGGAAAAAGATAAACCCTATGTTTGTGAAGGTGAGCACATTCCAAGTGATTACTTGGGTAAGGCATTAATCAGCAGCTGATGGTAAACCACTAGAATGTAAATGTGTGGTCCATCCATTCATTACAGTACGTACGTACCCAGGGGTGGAAATAACCCATTGCCTGACGCCCGAGTCCAGTGTTTTTTCTGTTGGGCAAGCAAATTTGTATATCACACTGTACCGGTGTCAAGTTGACTTTCCAATATTAATTATGTTGTTTATTTAAAAGTCAACAAGAAAACGGCCAGTATAGTGGAAAAATTATCAGGTCAAGTGATTTTACATGTGCCACTGTACCGGAGTACACTAGCAATTTTAAAGTTATTTCCACCCCTGGTACCTACATACATACAGTACGTACCTATGTACCTACCTACGTACATACATACATACATACATACATACATACATACATACATACATACATACATACATACATACATACATACATACATACATACATACATACATACATACATTTTAAACATCATAGCTGTGCTCAAGATTTTGTATCATCAAAGTAGCAAATATCGTCTTTGGGTTTTCTCTTTCCTCATGAAGTTAGATTCTGTTCCACTGCAATCTGTGCTCACTTCAGCAGGACTCCATGGTTGCCCTAATTGAGTGTTTTCTTTGTCCTCTCCAGCATGCGGTGCCCGCTACAAGACCCGGCCTGGTCTGGCATATCACTACACCCACTTCCACAACGGCATGATTGACGAAGACTCCAACACACAATCTCCCAAACCTCAGACTCGTTCCAATGGTAGCAAGTGTGAGTGTGCAATCCGCTTACACAAACCACCTTCGTGTTACCATATCTCAAAACGTTGAAATTATTTCTACATCTTTTGTAACCACTGTAGGTCATAATGCATGTCATTTTTATTACAAGCTGATAATTTGTAGATTTTTTGTTATTTTTAGTAATTTTCAAATTTTGTTTTGTTGACCCCTGTATTATTTTAGATGGATATTTTGCCAGCTTGGCATCTGGATCATGGATGTTGTCAATCTTGCTTATATATAAGTCGACCCCTTGCACTTGGCAGTATACATGCATTCTGGTAGCATCTAGACATTGTTACTATACAGTATGATAGCACATTTCACCATTCTGAATTGTATAACAGATGTGGACAAAATATACTACAATTTATTTAGCCTACAAATGTGTCAATGCCAAACTCGATTGAGGAAATAGTGGTGAAATATGATCATATGAAATGTATTGTGTTGTGTTGATATTTGTTTAAAAGATTATATGCACATACATGTGATAGATCGCAAATGTGAACTATCAACCGTAAGTGTGATGCTTATGCGATATGATGCGATAGATGGTAGTTCATTTTTGCACTGAGGAATGTGTTTGGGATTTATCACCTTTAAGTAGAGTATTTCCATTCTCGTGATTTTAGCACCATTGATGTACAGTAATGTTGATTAGATGATGGAGACAGGTATCCAGATTTATCCTGGTATATGCTAGAATCTCACAGTATTGTTATGCATCATAACCCTAACTGGGGCCCTTGTTCCGCAATGTGATCTTAGCTATACAGATGTGGTGATTCAATGTTAAAGTTTGTGAACGCTACGATCCCATTGTGGAATGGGGGCCTACAGTTTATCTGTTTACCTACCAAATGATGCAAGAATATTTAACGATGTTTGTAACTGTAGTTGCCACCCATGGTGTCTTGGGGTCACCCTGTGTTACTGATGTCCCCTTCACTTTGATATTCCCTGAAGTAACATTCCTTCACTGTTCTGATATATATTATTTGGAACCTCTTTAAACTATCTCATGATCACACCAAATTTGCCACCCAAATATTCTGAATCCTCCCAGTCCAGACCAAACTTGAAACATCCTTGCCATGATTTCAATGACCTTACCCTGTTTGAAATGCCTTGCAATTACAAATCTCCTCATGTGAACTTAACAAGATGTCTTCACTCTAAGTCTCCATGTGTTCAAGATTCCCAACCTGATTTGAAATGTTCCGACCATGTTTGGGAGCTGCCTAGCACTATACCTGTCATGCCTTGTGTGTCCCTACGTATGTGTCTAACAACCCCTAACCCTATAGATGGATATCCACACCTACCTAATACATCAGTAACCGTCCTATGTGTGCCTCTCCAGACTGTGGTGTTATCCCTGTCTCTCACCATTGGTAGCTTGGCAGTGGAATCATAGCCGTCACTCGCTATGCCCACAAGACCTAGGTTTCCTACCTGGGTATATGTGTAAAGCCTTTTGACCACGCAGTCCTGGAGTATTGCTATCATCCAAGCCAGTCTCACCCACAATGTTCACACCAGTTCTGTTCCCACTATAGCCTATTTATGGCGTCACCTTGTCTTATGATTATAGTTTGTTGGGATTCGAGGTCTGAATGAATTTTGACTACCTGCTTGTTGTTGAAGATGATTGATGGTCAGTGTGGCTGTCATGTATACGTTATATGTGAATGGATGGTCTTCTCTCTGCAATGGTCACCATGATTATGTAGATTGTTGCTCTCTCTCCACACTCTCAACCAATGGTTTGTCTCCACTAGGGCCAGTTTCATCTCAAACCCGTGTGATGTTGACATTAAATTAACCAAATTAACTGATACTATTGTCCATTAGCACCAAGTTACCCACTAATCAGCAAAAGCAACCAGATAAAGTTCAGACACGTATACAAAGTGTGCCGTAAGCAGGTTTATATTTGTCAACAATCCGATCTCCATCCTCTGCAGACATTCTGTGAAGCTTGACATTCCTCAGTAGCTCGCTCAGTTCGGGTACCTGTTCTCACAAGTCTCCGGTTCGAAAATGATGTCACATATTTTGGATCTATCACATGTATGGCAGTGTGTGCAACCGTGTTGTGGTAATGTATGCATGTTGCATGATGGGATGTTATGGTTCTGTTGTCATGGACTTATGGCAGGTATAGACTGAATACATTGCCTTTCACATTAAAAGTCACGTAAATCTGAACATACAGTCACAAAAATATCTGAAATTTCCAAATACTGGTTGAAGAAAGAAAACACCCATGCTGTTAAAGCTTTGCTTGTAGCCTAGTCATTGTGGTCTTCTTTGTTAAAGGGTTATGGAAAGATTAAAAGAAATGTAAAGCAGAAATAAAACGCCTTGAATTTTGAAGAAAAAATGACAAACTTTTGTTGATCCTGTCCACTTTCTCTATCATGTTATGATTTCAAATAGGTTGAGTGAACTTGAAAATTATTGTGCAGTGTTGTTTTAAAGGGTGTCACCTAAACAGGTTATCGTTATCACTATACTTTTGCTTTGTTGATATCTGCTGGGCTAACATGGTTATAAATATTTCTCTAATCCTAAGTGCTTGTTGTAATGTCATTGCATTCAATGATATGTTCAAGTGTAATTATTCAATTAATTACTTGAAAATTGTTGATTGCAGATTCTTCTGTGAAGAAGACTCCACACCAAGTTTCATTTAATGAAATCTGCTGAAATTGAAGTGATTTTGCCCTGTCACACCATTTTATTTGGTTCTATAGAATTTGAAAAAATAAACAGTGGGACAGATTAAGGATGAATGGAAATCTGGGATTTGGAGGTTGCCTAATGTCTTGGGTAGTTGCAGGTTGAAGAAGTTGATATTTTTCTTATTTTTTGTTCTTTGAAATGAAGGATTAGATAGAAATTCTTAGCCTTTGATCATAAGTTACCATAAGGGGAAAAGTGTCAGTATTTGTTCTCAAGGATGAAATTTGTACACGTTACTGTAAGACCCATCTGAACATAGTGAAATCTTTCCACAATCCTCCTACTTTATGACGGCCTTAAGCAGCCACGATGTGAATATACATGCCTTATTAGAGGTTAGAATGTAACTGTTGGTGTAGTAGATTGCATGCCCTAGCACCGCAGCATGTTATGGTTAGTTGCACTCGAGCCCACTGCAGCGCAAGTCTCAACCATGTCTGCTTCTCCCGCCCACCTGCTGGTAGAGTTGTCAAGAATGTGCATGCTGGCCCCACCCCCTCCATATCCCTCCTCACCCCCAAGACAGACGCAAGGGTTGGTGACAATATCTGTCTCTCTGATATTATGGTTTTGGATCCCAGCGACTAATCTCTCCTCTAAGTAACTTTTTCTCCGTTTCAGGTGGGTCTATGCGAGCTCACCGTCACACTTAACTTCCCCCACTTATAGCCTCTTCGTGGACTTCTGAATGGGATGTACAGTGTGTGTATAGTTTCTAAAGGGCAACTTTTTTTTTCTCGATTGGATCATTCATCCATTTTTGCTCCTAACATCACCTGGTGATTAAATGTGTGATCTTAATTTTGCTCATTTTTTGGTGGGTTACATGCCAAATGGCTGATGGACTCTACTGAATTTTTGTGGCTGTTTGTCAGAATTTGCTGAATATGCCAAGAATATAAGCTTTTGATTTGCCCACTGCTTAAAGTTTAGCTAGTTGTATGATTTCTTTATTGTGATTAATTTGAAATGCTTGATTGTTTGATTAAACGTAGTTTGCAAATTTTGCATCTTAGTTCTAAAACTTGAATATTCATGATGTTCCAGAATGATCTATGCAACCAAAACATGAGCTCAAGAAGAAAAAGTCATATTTTGACATTCATAAATATGTTCCGCTGTCACCAATTTTTAACTGTCTTAGTCATAACTATAACATGGTCTTTATACATAGATCTAGACTAAAATGTAGTTTTAGAAGTCCTGCTAACTCTTGCATAATCTGTGTATATTTCCTTTTTTTTTAATTGTTTTATTTACCAGAATATATTCAGTGTTTTTCTGTATGTGTTCAACGTTGATATCAAAGTGCCTACTTTCATTAATGTAACATGGTGTGGACTTTTCTTCACTCAGTAGATCATGAGAGGGTTTCACAAGCTTTTTCAAAGGTGGTAGAAGGTCCTCTAGCTCTTATACCAACAGCTTTCATTATATTGTTAGGGTGAGGATGATCTGTGTTCCTGGGCAATTTGGCAACAACACTTTTGTCTGTATATTGAAGTTGGGTAGTTTGGCAGTTCATTTTTTGTTGTTGAATGAATGAGACTTGAATTTTTTTATTTTATACAATCGTGAACATTCTTTTCTAGATAGTTTTAGTTATAATTCCATATGACAAGACAGTCTGTTGCTGATAGTTATTCTTCACTGAATATTGGAATAGTTTTGATTATCAAACGTAATGATACTCTTGTCACCAGTAAGATTAAGTTATGAAAAATGAACTATTGTTTGGATCAAAGATTTAAAGTTATTTTAAATTTGATCCTTATGTGACAAAGTGTACATAACAGACCAGTGCTGTGATAATCCTAATATATTTAGCCCCTAGATAGCTGGTATCTAGGTCCAAATTTGACAAAGTGTCCTTATTGCTATGACTATGTTCTTACATTGATAAAATGGGGCTTGTCGTAGATTTAAGTCTTTGGGATATTGGGTGTAGACTGTGAAAATGTTCTTGAAGCTGTCCTCTGCTGGTCAAGCCTCCATGTTGGACTGACTCCTGCTGTGGGATGTGTTACAGGTAAAAATGCTGATGGGAAGGCAACTGCTAATAACTATTGTGACTTCTGCTTGGGAGATGCTGCAGACAACAGGAAGACAAAACTACCCGAGGAGCTGGTGTCTTGCAGCGATTGTGGCCGTTCAGGTAACACAGACTTTCTAGCCATGCACTTTTTAGTTGTCTTATTCAACCTTCTTCATGGTCAGATATATGGAGTGTCCGCCCCAGAGTGAAACCTTGGTTTGGTCTGAGTCATAACAAAAGACATTAAAAAATGATATTTGATGTTTCCCTCCTTGGCAATTGAGATTAAGGGTAGTAAGCATGGACTGACATTGGTGTGTTGGTATACTGTGTCTTGGTTAAGTATGTCTGATAAATTGTGTCATTATGTCCGTGGGCTAGCTCTCTAAAGCTGGCATTAGTCCAGACTAATACAAACTCACACATGCACACAGACATATGCATGTACATCCGTATGTGAGTGCAGTAATCTTGCACACAATGTTAAACCATGAAACTCAGCCTATTTAAACTTATACACTTAGCCAGTTCATAGCCTTCTGATGAATCGATTTAGTTCAAATAAATAGTTCCATCTCACACTAGATCACTGGATGCCTAAAATGAGTGAACAATTGATGTACACCTTGTTTTATCACATTTCTGTGTTAAACCCAACCTGATACAGTCTATGCATTATGTATATTAGCCAATGGTGCATTCTGTACCTGTTCATGATATTTTAATGTGTATTTCTCATGTAGGTGTAAAGTTTTTCAGCATTGATGTCCATTACGAAGCCTAGATCCGACTTATTTACAGACACATGTCATCACCCCATTTAGATCGATGTTCATGCTGTTGATCCCTGGATTGTCTGGTCCAGATCCGATTATTTACAGACCGCCACCATATAGCTGGAAAATTGCTGAGTGCGGCGTAAAATTCAACTCACTGACTCACTCAATCCTTTGCACTAACTATTGACATGTATGTGACCAGCTCTATGTTTGTCTGCAGGTCACCCAACATGTCTCCAGTTCACAGCCAACATGATCATATCAGTGAAGAAGTACCCCTGGCAGTGTATAGAGTGCAAGTCATGTGGACTGTGTGGGACCTCTGATAATGATGTAAGGGATGAAGCTGCTCAGATACCTTTATATAATGCAACTCAAAACAACTTAAAGATCACATCATTTTTACACATTTGACTATAGTTGATCTAATCATGCCATCAGTGTTTTCAGGGTGTATGAATTGTATTAACTTGAATAAATCAATGAATACAATGTAAATTTTATTCATGTTTTTCCTGTCAAATATTGCAAGGGAGATAACTCTTGTTTATAGAGTTACAGACCTTTGATGCCATGACAACTAAGCATTTGGTTTCAATTCAGATATTTTGAATGCATTTCAGATAGTTCTTTCATGGCATTAACATAATTAAAAAGATCTGAAATATTGGTATATAATAAACTTTTAAAATTAATCCAGGAAGAATATTTCAAAATTGACACTGTTGTGTGTCCCACATGAGTTCAGCGCTTTGTTTTGACCATTTCAGGATCAGTTGTTATTTTGTGACGACTGTGACCGAGGCTACCACATGTACTGTCTCACACCACCTCTCACTGAACCTCCCGAGGGTATGTGTACTCTACAAACTACTGGGCTGTGGGGTAGCCTAGTGGTTAAAGTGTTCGCTTATCATGCCAAAGACCCGGGTTCGATTCCCCACATGGGTACAATGTGTGAAGCCCATTTCTGGTGTCACCCGTCGTGATATTGCTGGAATATTGCTAAAAAGCAGCGTAAAACTAAACTCACTCATTCACTCTACAAACTACTAGAAATAGGCTTGCAGGCAGAACAAGTTCCCAATGTGTAAAGAATGAAAGTCAAGTGCACACTTATCTGTTTACCAGTGTAAAAGTAATGTAAAAACAGCTGTGACAACTGATTATTTTGTTGTTGTTACATTATGTTTTAGAGAGATGTTAAACCAGGCTTGCTGTCTCACTGTTGTTGTGTCTGTTGCAGGTAATTGGAGCTGTCACTTGTGTATTGAAGAGTTCCACGGGGGTAAGAAGCCTGCTGGCATGCAGTGAGGACCACACCTCGGTTGTTCTCAGGGCTGACAGTGGGACTTCACAGTGGGAACTTAGCATTTATCATATCGGGTCAAGATCTCTCATGCACAAGAAACATGCATCAATGCATTCGAGCTTAGCTTTGTGCAGATGTTACACGTGTAGAAACTGCTATCACTGTCATCTCAAAACCTTTACAATAAGAAGGAAGTTGATATCCAGTCAAGCATAGGTGGTACTCGGGTGTCATGGCATAACAACACAGTAGGGTACCGCAGTACTCATTTACCAAGATCCATACACAGGAGTTGCACCGTAACTGTCCAAACTGTGATGATCAAAATGATTCATAACTGCGTGGTGCCCTCGTGGCAGGATTGTGTCTGATTGATGTATTCTGATACATTCAAAATTGCTGCTGTATCATTTCAACCCAGGATGGCATCATCACAGATACATCGTTGCCATCTACAACATCACAAAGAGATTTGCCAGACACCCTGGGGTATCATAGTGGCAAAGCATTCCCATCTAAATGTCGAACCAACTTGTACATTATCTTGTTCATATTCTCTTTCTTTTGTCTATAGACTGTATAGTGCCTTTAATGCTTGTGTTATTCAGGAATTGTTCTTGGTATTGTCCTTTTCCTCTTCCTTACCATAATAGGCAGTCACATGGTGACTAGTGCCAGGATAATGTACCGATGACTCTGAATAATGTAAGGAACCATATGATCAGTGTTACAAATGGTATTTTAATGTTTCTGCACTTTTTCATGAAAACAAGAGAGCACATATATTTTGAAACTGTGGTCACGGAACTGTGTTCCACTTTGAAGTGGAAATTGCAATGAGCTACTCATAAAAGGTGTTTACAAAACAGTTGCCGGTGAACTTTTATCTGAAAATGATGGTATTGTCATCAGTGATCCATGTAATAATGTTTGTCATTTTTAGTATTGTTTAGTAGCACCTGACTAAAATGATTTCAAAATCATCACCTACAAACATGTCAAAAGCAGCTTTTTCTATAAGGACTTCAACTGATAACTGCTGATGAACACTGATGAAATCTTTCTGATTTTGTCTTATCACCAGTACTTAATTTGGCATGAAATGAGAAAGTGTTGACACAAGACTGTCTCTGTGAGGGAATATTCTACTCTGTAGACATACTGTATGGTGGAGCTATCAGTCAACTTGGTGTATGATATATTCGAGTAGAAATACTTTTGTTACTTTGACATTTTGCTGTTCACATAAGGGATGAATATATAACCAATGGTGGGGCTTGGAATTGAGCACTTGTGGTTCATTTCATTGTTTGTCATTGCCATTCAATCATTTATTCAGTATTCAGGTCTCCCGCCCAAGTAAAGTAACACAGTGAAAGTGTTTTCAACATGCGTACAACAGCAAATATTTACTATTGTGAAGATGATAGATTAATGACACAGTTGACTGTACCTAAAAAGAGCCACTGTCATGAAGAGATGTAGTTGGGGATCATTTGTGCAATATTTTATGATTTGCAAAGATCTAATAGATTATTTTTATACAAATGACAAGAATTCAGTAATGCAACGATGAGATTAAATCAAAATAGGATTTGTTGTTCAGATTGTGCCCTCTGGATATTTTTGAAAGATTTATGTAGTCTTTATAGTGCCTGGTTATGTTTAACACCTGATCTGTACAGCAAACTTTGGCTCAACAAAGAAAATGCCTCTCCAAGGAAAAATGAGATAACAGTATTGTTAGAAAGACCCCAGTGAAAAGAGAAGTTTAGCTGTTGCTGGAAAATGACTTGTTCGAATTTAATGTTGATTTGTTTTGTATACCATTGTGGTTTGTTTTCAATGGTTTACAGTTTACAGAATTTAGGCTTACTAATTCAGGTAGGTAGGTTGAAAAAATTAAATTATCTTGATTCCAATTTTCAAATGTTTTTATGCTTCTTTCAGTTTGTTATAGTATATCCTTGTCAGTATTCTAATTAATTGGATCCACACTTTTTGTTCAATAATGATACATTTCACAAAGGTCCAGTGCACTGTATTCCTTCCCCTTGCCTGTATCTTCTGATTGTAGCTTCAAATTCTGATTTAATGAGCCTTGGTCTACCTGCACTACACCTCTGTGCTTGGACAGATTTGATAACCTCTACGACTTCCACCACGTAAGGCTCATCACAAACATATTTCACTGTGGTGTGAAATATCATTCAAAAGTAGCAGTATACCAGTTCATTGTTTGCTTTGTATAGAAAGGGCTAATGGACATTGAATTTGTCCAAGTTCAATGGGAGACCCTCCTATGACACATTATCAATTTGATTTAAACTTCACACGTGTTCATTGTAGGAGACTTTACCAAACAGGGTTTTTTTAGTCCTTGTAAATATGCTTTTATGAAGCGCATTCTGAACTTTCCATGCTATTTGAATCTCTGATTCAGAGGTAAATTTAGTATCCAGAATTTTGAATCTTAACTCTTCATAAGATTCTTTGCATGGGTCAAATAGTTAATGCCTTATCTGCAAATAACCACATGGTATGGCTGTGAATTGGTTGAAGTGGCACTATTTCCTATTTGATCACTAAATGAGTACGTGCAGTGGCTTAAAAATATTGTTACTAAGTGATTTGGAAGTTTCAGATCATGTTTCAAAAGCTGCAATGCTGTACTTAAATTCTATTTCTGAGTAATTATTTCATTGTTCCCTCCATTCTAGGGTGTAGTTGAAGTTACAGTAGCATGGAATGTTGAAGATGTGATGGATGTCCAGGTTGGGTTTTGCCAAGAGATTCTTTCAGGCCAGTAAGGCAGCTGACAGTCATGTCTGTTGTTTATTTCATTAAATCAGCATCATTTATAAATCACTTAGCATATTACAGTTTGCAAACAAGAAAGGTGCTCGTCAGTTTCACATTATTGTAATCATTGTCCATCTGTCACCGTTTGTGCATAATCAGCAACATTAAAGATCACAGTGAAAGAACTACTTTGTTTTGTTTTGTATTTCATTGTTATTGTCAAAGGTCACATGTTAAGGATAGTGGTTAATTGTTCAGATTTTGTTTCTCTTATGATGTGATATTCTAAAGTGTTTAATGAAAATACAAAGAACAAGTGATGAATTTGTTTTGGCCTGTGTCTGGCAAATGAAGGGCACTGGATGGAGTAATCTTTTCATCCTTATATTAGTAGAGATCCCAATCTCTCCCAATTCCTCAGACATCAAGGCAAGACAATTGTAGGATGTGGGGAACTCGTAATCTTGTGTTTTCTAGAAATACAGAAGAATTCTTGGAAGAAGTACTGATGATGCACCTCAATGGAGTTTTCTATAGGTAAATGGGTTTCTGGGGTGTATGATGTGGCCGAGCAGGCTATTAATAAGGCTAAAATCACAAACATTATGGTCCTACCACATGTCAACTAAAAGAAGTGAGATGCATGCTACTGTCAGGACAGTTATCATCAACACACACCACAAAACCACTGGATTTAAATACTGATTCTTCGTATTTCTTCCCACCAAAGAGCACCAGAAATTGGTTTCTATTTGAACACCTTACTTCAGGAGACAGCTGAGAGGCAACACTGACTGATAAAAGTATGTTATTTTAGTTCTTGTTTGATAAGGATGTCAACTGTTAAGGTATTAACAAAGATTTTTCAGGGAAATGTAACGAGTTTAGTACTAGTTACATTTCCTTAAAAAGTATGAATAGTTAACAACTGATAGTCATTCAATTGCCAGCAAGGTGACACAGACACACCATTAATTCACACAGTGAATGACATTTGTAATTCCACCAAATTTGGGGCTTTTCAGAGAATTCTAAAGTGATTTCTTTCATGAATTCTGAGTTGCTTGGTTCAAAGTCTTCCAAGAACGCTGATATACAATTTCTGTACTTTTAGATTACATTGATTATACTTTGAGGATTCATAAAAGTACCTTCCTCCATCACCCATGAATACATCAGACCAATATTTGTTGTTATTTTAAACCAATGAATCCAGACTGGTTTCAGCAAGAGAGAACCAGTAAGTGCTCTCACAAAACTGCTCTGGTCACATCACACAAACAGTAATGTGTCTGCTTACATGTGAGATAGCCTTGTAGTGACATGTATTGAGGCGTTGAGGCATGTACTTACATGTGCCATAGCCTTGTGACATCTGCTGACGTGTGTGTGGTCGTCATATGAGCGAAATATTCTCAAGCACGACGTAAAACCCAATTTCACCTCACCTCACCTGCTGACATGTGCCATAGCCTTGTGACATCTGCTGACGTGCCAAAGCCTTGTGACGTCTGCTGACATGTGCCAAAGCCTTGTGACATCTGCTGACGTGCCATAGCCTTGTGATGTCTGTTCACATGTGCCATAGCCTAGTGACGTCTGCTGACACGTACCATAGCCTTGTGACGTGTGCTGACATGTGCCATAGCCTTGTGACGTCTGCTGACGTGTGCCATAGCCTTGTGACGTCTGCTTAGATATGCCATAGCCTTGTGACATCTGCTGACACATGCCATTGCCTTGTAGCATCTGTTGATCTGCTTTAATGACAGGCAGCAGTCGGACCATCACAAATCTATATTACATAGTTATCATCAGAGGTCATCTCATTTCCATCAGCAACCTTCAAGATTCATGCTAACCAGTCCAAGAAAACCAAATTACAAACCTTTGACCACACGCATCTCACACATAAATCTTTAAATCAGGGAAAGCACAACATGACATGTTCTTATGAAAATATCATTTATTACATTGAACCATGATAGTTGTTTAATCAACAAGTTGGTGGTCTGTGACGTTCCTCCAAAGACAGTAGGCCACAGAATGTCATTGCAGCATCCAGACACGGATGGCCTATGACTGTTCCGACAAGTTAAAGTCTTACAGTCAGTGAAAGGGCACACTCTGTTCATACACAGTCTCAATATCACCATTTGCCTACATCTTCATAACTAGGAATATTTCAACAATTGTCAAAATGGACAAAATGGCCACACATTGGAAGAGGCTTGAAGTTCAGTACTCAAGGTGCTAAACCTGGTGGCTACTTTGAGTACTATGTGTGCCTTTCATAAAGCATTAGTGTTGAGTGTATCTGAATGTATAAAAACAAGGGTAAAACAAAACACTATTTAATTCCATAGAGTACCTGACTGCTGAAGCATAGTTTGGTCTATGCCCATTGTTAGGTTGTTCAAAAAGTGGGCAATGGAAGTACCCACAGTTTGTGGATATTTCATCGAAGCATTTCCAATTTCATGATTCATGATCGAGATTATGACTTCAAACTTCAAATCTCATGCGAGTGTTGAGACTTAGTTTAAGGCAGTCTTAGTTTGCTGACAAAAATAGACACTCAAGACTTCAATAGATTGGCAAACCTTTGTCATACATCCTCCTCCACAAGCACATCAAAGGTAATATGCATGAAGAAATATTTTTAACAAAACTTAGCTTCAGTGATACATATTCTTGAAGGTATAAAAATGAAATCCTGAAACCCTGGTATCTACCTTCACTGTTTGGGAACATCAGAGGGCAATCGAACCGTCCCAGTGACTTGTTGCTCACAAAGTTTTCAGATCTGGACATTTTCACCTGGATTGTACAATCTGGATTAACAGACATTCACTGTACAACAGGATATGCCATGAGCAAAATGATGTAACAATCTTTGACAAATTTTCAGACAGTTTTCCATTCTCTGTACAACTTGAACTTTCTGTGACTTTTAAGGACTCGGGAGATAGATCTGTAGGAATCTTGTTCCAGCTAGATCTCTAGAACTCAGCTTGTTGCTAGAACTCTCCCTGATTACCAGGTACTCGTTTGTATTGGGCATATTATTGTAAATATGGTAATTATGTTACACTGATGGACTAGAGATCCTGTTTGTGTCGACAACTGCACAAACAAACATTTGTGGAATATTGTACAAGATTTCTGACTTGGTCATACATTACACCTTCAATACTTTTAAGTACAAGCAAAAAAAAAAACCTAAATGGAACAGTAACAAGATTCTTGGAAAACGATGGTCTGGGTTCATGAAGGTGATGATTGTGTTATCTACTGAATCATATACTACTAAGAAAGAAGTAAAAGAACAACTGATTCTTTCCTATTACTATAGGTAACCTGCCATGCCATGACTGATTCCCTCTGGTAATTTGAAAGATTCTGAACTATGAAGCACAATAACATTCACATTCATAAACTCAGATTTTTGTGACTTCTACTGCAAAAACAGTTCAGAAGACTTCGCAGAAAAATTTGTTCCCATCATGAATGCATCTGTACTAGCAAAGTGAACACAAAACAGAAGTATAGACGGTAAATTTGCAAAGTTCTGAAGACAGTTACACAATATGGTTCAAAACAGTATTGAGTCCAGATTTGTTCGTTGATGTCATTATTTTCTGAAAACTAAATAATGCTGAGAAATTGTCAGCATATTTCTAAACCTCAAAAGGCACTGACATCTATTCTCTACTAAGAGAAATAATAGATTTGGGTTAATGAAAAGAAAGCAGCAATTTTCTTCCACCTTCACACTAAACTAGTGGCAAGTGGCAATAATGCACCAAAACCATGTCAATACTGATTGTGTAACAACTGCTCAGTGTCAGGAATATGCTCAAAAAGGTTATTGGGGTGTTTCTTGTTTTAACTCCAGTCAAAATATTTCACTTTTCACCTCCTGCTGAACCAATTAACTTATTCAAAAATTAAAAAAATCTTTGAAATAGGTAATTTTATTTATTTATATTTTTTAAATTACAAAAAAATAATTACATATGAAAAATATCTTTGAAATGGGTAACTGAATAAATTAACCTGCCTTTTCTCCCTACTTTTTTTTACATTCTGCCTATATATATTTTGGCCCCCTATATCATCCAGAAAGGGGTGTTGGGAGGTAGAATCTGTTGAAAACATCTTTAAATAAGAGATGTCCAACTGACAACTGCCTATCCAATTGTGGTAGAATCAGTTCCTGTGGCTTGGGTACACGTAACTCGTCACTGTCATAGTAGAGATGCATTCACGAGGTGTCAAGCTCTGGGTTTATGGTTTCCTTCACACAAAGCAATTAGCTATACCATAAAACATGAGAACAAATTAAAAACATTTCTCAAACTATGCACTGATAATGATACTTGCTCAACAGTTTGCCGCTCGTCAGGAAACATTCATAAAAACAATATAAATGTACATTCCTAGATACACAACTATATTACAAACAGTCAGATTGTGTAATAAGGTTGTACGATGGAGTGTCCACATTGCCACAACACCATATCCACCAAGCAATGGCTCCCTTCAACTTATTCTTACTTTGCGTACCAAATTTATTGGTAAGGAAAATGTTTCTTCATCACTGACGCAGAAATAGCTCTGCTCCACCTGAAATATATCTTTAGGTAGGCTGTTTCATGTATGCAAATCATGAAAATGTCTGTTCCATTACTGTTCAAATATAACTTAAGGCCAGACTAATCTTATATTTTGTTATACGGATCTACCAGTCGTAATTTTTCAAGAACAAGAAAAATATTAAAATTAATTTTCTCCGCTCAAAAATAAAATCCTAATGTCAATGTGATATGAGAAAAATACTCTAGGAATCAGTGTGAAACCTGAACTCATTCAACCTATTTTAAGTTGATATAAACTTCCCCACCCTCCACACATTTTAGGTTTTCTGAAGACAAAAATCTGTAACACAAGAAATAAAATGGGTCGGTCTAATTGGGGGAAAAAAACAAACAAAACATGCTTAAAGATGCATAATATTGACATTTTCTTGTCTTGAGGCAAATACAATGTATGTCATTTCTCTCCTGTCAACAATAATCACAATACCCTCATTCAAATCTGTGGCCAGTTACTTACATTCTCAATTATACTACTCAAAACAAGTAAGGACCACCATTCTTTAATATTAACATGGTTAATCTGCAGTTCTTAACTTCTAATGAGTAGTATAGTTTGGTGTATCCCTATACCAGCCTAATGCTGGTGCTCTGTGTCAGAACTAAGATGTGAGCTCCATTATATGAATTTACCCAGATTGACGCCAAGTTGCATGTGACCGTACTTTATTGTAACTAGTTGTGTAGCGAGTACTACCAACACAAGAATGAAGAACATGCAGTGCCTGGTGGACATGATGTGATTGGCTTGTTCCACTGAAGACATGGTATTTACAATCTATGTACACAACAAACTATACAAACAATAACGATATGAGTAGTATTTGGAGACAGTGAAATCGACATGTCTTAGGCCACACACAAGCCAATGTCCGAGTGAGCATATCACTCACTATAGAGATACTGTAATTGTCTTAACAACATAAACTAGGGGATTGGTTGAGGGCAACTAACACTGGGACTGCAGGAGATGAATTAATTATTATACATAACTAAAACAATGCAAGCTGCGCAAGTCACGTTTGATTCTGAATTTGTGAAATTTGCATTTGTTTCAGCTCCTACAAAAAAAAAATGAGGTAATTTCATTTTGTGAAAAATAATAAAAAATTAAAAAATCAATCTGTTAACTAGGACTCCACTTAAGGATGTACCTTTGCCTACTACATCTGTCATGCACACATTTACCCAAAATATATAAAGTTTTAACACCTAAGCAGGGAATACAAGTTGTTATAGACATGTCACACTGTATCACACACGCTGTAACACGTATAAAAATACTTATACTGATTCACTGTAAGTCTGTACGTTTTCCTGAATCAGCATTTTTTGACATCTTGGAAGAGGTATTGCCAGTGGCCCTGTGAAACACAGTTTCATCTTTCAACTTAAAATATACCTTTTGAAACAATGATATACCTGTGTGGACGATTTAGTATGAAAGAATGAATTCAATACATAGTAACCATATTAATTTTATACATATCTTTAGCGCCCTGGGGGTTTGACCAAGTCAGAGACAAAAGGGGGTAAATTATTTATATCTACGTTGGGAAAAAAAATAAGGGAACACCACTTCATGGCAGTGTTCCTGTATTTATTCTCAGATTTCCTCCCACAAATCTGTTCAAAGCTGGTGATGAAAACTGGAAAATATTAAAGAAACGCTTGAATTTTCTTGTGTTCCTTTATTTGTTTCTCTCAGTATATATAAACCAACTTGAACAGGAGGATCTCATGATTTGGATCTGTTCACAAAGATTACTCAGGGTTCCTTACAAATTTTTAGTCTTATACATATGATTATATCTGTCCAACTCAATCAAATCATTATTTGATTAAACAAATCCATGACATTGTTCTTAAATTTAATTTTCTAGACAGAGGAGTAGAAAGGGTTATTTTCTGACGAGACGAAGATGGATCACTTGTACTGTGGTAGTAGAGTACATGAGGAGGGGTTTATGAAGCGAGGGGTGCTAACCACACCAAATATGGCAGTTGAAACTACCTGAAGCATGACATTTATCACAATGCAACTCACTACCTGAAAACCAAATAATATTCACACCCTCGTGCTGTGCTAGCATGCAGCATGGCCTCATATTAACTGTTTCAACATCTTCTGTGCCAATACTTTTTCAATTTCCATTTACAAGCTGACAGCTATTATAAATATCTTTTACACTCTGCACCAAATTAAAGCCAGAAATGGTCTAATACACAAACACAAAGTACTTCTACAAACACCTTTGAAAGTGACGAAGTATTAGTTCCTGCTGACGTAACATGGGCTCAGTCTGACCTAACACTGGCTCCCCTTTTCACAGCCACATATCACCCAAAACCAGCCTACATTTACATAACAAGAGTCCAGGGTGATGAACAAGGTACTGCATTTACAACCATTGTTGGTTGACCAGCTTCTCTTAAATATAATATCTAAGGTCCTAATGCTGTGATTATTGAAGTGTAACCAACACACATTGAATTTTTTGCTGTGAAAGTGTGTAAATAGTGAGATTCTGAGATTTTTGATATGGATGTAATTTATTAAAGCTTCTTAAATTCTCATCAATATTATATTTTTTTATTAGTTACGAGATAGTGTTAGTCACTGCTTTTGAACTACCTCTGAAATTGACCAATTACCCTGTTAAGTATGTCTCTTTGTGTCTGTCAAGAAATGACTCACTTCACTACAAATGTAACAAAAAATACGCAACATGAAATGCTCTGCTGTGAAACGTTTTTTGATCTGAGTTGTTAAAATATTGATATCTTCATTCAAAGACCTTAACCAAAACAAACTTTTTAAAACAGTTTCCAGGTAGATCTAAGTACAAGTAGTACAATTTAGATATCTGGTTGGAGCGATCAAGATGTCCATGATACACTTCATCGCCAAGTCACCGTACAACAGGCTAGGTGCAAACCACCTTCATTATCCATGCTGAAATGTAGGGTGTGGTCTCGGCCACTGAACACAAGGATGGTGGGAGGATGGTAGAGATGGTAGAGATACAGGAGCCCTGGGTAGATGGGTATGGAGTGCTGCCTCTCAAGAAAATAATCTGGGCCCTTATTCTGGTAAGAATTCTTAACCTTTGATCGTGTGAGCAATGTGTTAAGAATGGACTGGAGAAGTTCAGAGGGCTCTTCTAATAGCCTGACAAACTTGTTCTTCTAATGACACGTGTCGTATTGTCGTAACTGTACCATCAGAGATTTGACTCAACCATATATTACTGCGTGATGATCTCACAGACTGCTTCAGATGTAAGACTTATCAAAATGTTTCTTTATGTAACTCTTCAAGGTTTTAATTCTTTATCAGTAGGACATCGTTAATGTGGGCTGCCATTAACTTTCACATGGAGAGTGTGTGGCAGCCATACAACATGTTTACCACTTGCTGACAGTGAGGAGTCAACAAGCAGCAGATCCCAGCACAGCCAAGGGAGATAACTCTTTAGGGAGAATCACAGGACTCTTTAGCCAGCTGACCAAACTGCTGGTGTTTTATTAACACCAGATCTCTATCAGAAATCTGGATTGCTTTTTATGAAAAGAACTGTCCAGATTAACAAGTGTACACTTTAAAGGAATCATACCAAAAGATGTTAAAATATGGTACTTGTTGGTCCCTGCCTAGCGGCATTAATGGGTACATCAAGGACTGGTTGGCAAAGAGTCAGTATGTGTCTGAGTGGGGTATTCATGCTTCACTGCGGCATGGTATCTCAGTGGGCTAGCACTATAAAACCAGCTTCAGTCTGGGCTAGTACACGCAGCCTCACATACATATACAAATGCATGCACGTCGTCATATGAGCGAAATATTCTCAAGCACGACGTTAAACCCAATTTCACCTCACCTCACCTTAAAGGAATCAGGGACCAGATGTTTATTAATGGGCCTGTGTTTCAGACAATACGACAAAAAAGGAACAAACTTCCATCCCTAATCTTGGTCAGTTTCTGTGGGATTCTGCCATGGAAATACAATATTTATCACTAAATTCTAATAGTTATTTGTTTTCAGTAAGAAACCCATGAATATACTATTATCAGTGCAGGTAAATTTATATGTTATTTTGATGTAGTAAAGAGACTATTTCCTCTGGCCCCAACAATTCATTTTAACTGTGAAATACTATTTTTGTTGACTGCAAAAGTTCTCCCTGAAATGCTTTGCCAATAAATGACTGTCCCTCAACTGTTTGCATTAAATCGTTTTGTTGATGGAGTATGGTATATTGTCTGTTACTCACACCTCTTGTCTTCTCTTGAGCCATATTTAACCAATGACAAATGCACATTCCACTGTATGCCTCAGTAACCATGGTGAGAACAACAACATGGTCGGACATTTCAATCCCAGGTATATCAAACATTATTCACAACAATCAACAAAGTAAAAAGGGACATTATCAATACACAGTCTTGTACACTCTATGTTTCTCCATCAACCATGAATGTGTAAGGTCACTTTGCAATGCAATCACTACTTTCAACTGTTCCAGTGCATATGGCCAATGAGTGACTGAGTTTGGTTTTACGCCGCTTTTAGCAATATTCCAGCAATATCATGCGGGGGACACCAGAAATGGGCTTCACACATTGTACCCATGGGTCTTTGGCATGACGAGCAAACGCTTTTCTTCAACCACTAGGCTACCCCACCGCCGTCAGTCCAATGAGAACACAGATTACGCCAAAGATGCAGCAGTCATCTCGACAAACCCAATACATACACTCATTTGTCTCCCATCGGCAGCCCTAAAAATTCATGATAACCCCCAAGCTCGAGACTACTACTTTGTGCTGATGGCAAGTGAAAACTGGATGACGTTAGACCCTCATTGATAAGTATTTGAGGCCTTTTACCCTGAAGCAGTGTTAAATATTTCAGTTTGGGTAATATGGGAACTGAATTGACAATGTTAAAATGGAATTCTTTCTTCTCTCATTCAAACAGGGAGAGCTAAAAACTCAGAAGACTAGAGAACTAAGGGTTACATCAGTCCTCGATCCTAAATTTCTAGAGCTGATGTAGTCTCATTTCCAAACAAAACACGTCACGGCTACATTGCAGTTTGACCCCAGGATGTGTGAAGGAGGAACAACGAGCATGCAAGCCTGTGAAGTATTGAAACAGTAAAGAAGAGCAAGGTGTGTTTCTCCCAGCACTAATGACAATCCCCTCAGACAGCAATAATAACAAACATAACTACGACGAACGGCGTTGATGTCTGACAGACACCAGGCAATAAGGACCTCGTCGTCACACACTCTCAAGACACATAACAATACATAACAATCGATAATTAACATTATAAAATATTTTCCAATGAAATCAACCAATCTATACAATCTTCAAAAAGTAACAAGTTAGCCCTAGGTTTGAATGCTGAATATCATACAATATTGTATTCATGTCAAATGTGAAAAAAGGTCAGTGGGGAAATCATTTAATGAAAATAGTATATTCTGAAAATAAAGATATGTTTTGGTGATAAGTTGAACATGATCTCATGTATTTCGTTGCTATGGAAACTGTTTCTTTTAAATTTGAAGGTTTCCATCAACAGATATCTTTCTATGAAAAATTCATTGATTTTTTCGATTTCATTTTTTATCACATGTAAACTTCATCCAACATAAACTGCTACTCATAAAAAAGACCCCAAACTTGTTTGCTTTGTATAGAAAAATAAAAAGACTTCACTTCGTCTAGATCAGGGCCTGTTTTCACAAAGCGATCGTTACGCACGACGGTTATAAGTGTTACAATTGCCTCAGCGCTGGAATCGATTTGTGAAACAAGGCCCTGGAGTGAAACAACATTTCTTTGGACTTGATGTGTCTGATGTGATGAGGTTAAGTACTGAGTAGATACCTACATCTGAAATGTACAACGAGTGGGTGCACCTACCCTACATGCTTGTGTGTTTAAAGCATTGCCAGGAGTTATATACATGCAATGTAAGGATGAAATCGACGAGAGAGAACTGCTATGATAGCCAGCTGCCTTCACATGTCAAGTCAGCCGATTCTGGGACAATGCAGTGGAACCCTCCCCAGTGGAGGAAGGTCAAGGACACCTGTCTTAACCTAACAATTTACAGGATCCTCAGATTCAAATACCCCAAGGTGTCTTGGGTCCCTGAAACACTGCTATCTCCATAGAAACAGTATCTTTCTTTGTGTTCATAAATAATAGCACTGCCTTGTTTTATGTTTTCTGCAGTCAAACATCACCATTTCACTGGGTTTGATGAGCTAACAAACATATTGGAGTTAATCTCTGACTAGGGTAAACTGAACTCTCATCAATCCACTGAGGTTGGATTCTTAAACTGAAAGTTCTTATTTGCAAGTCAAACCCTACAACGGATTAACTGTATATAGACAATTCTTGGTTCTTTTCACTAACTGCTCTAAAAAACCCAAAGTGTCTGTCGATATGAAGAATGTCCAACTACACAATATCCTTGTCCTTTGACTATAATCCTGTTTCCTTCATGGGAGGTGCTAGCGTTGAGGCTAAAGTGTTCACTTAAATATGTCAAAAGTCAATAATCATTCGTCTCTGTTCGCCATTGCTGCGATACTGCCCCACACTGATGTCAGTCCATCTATTCAGTGATGCCTAATTTTCTGAATATTTTTCTTTGCTTATCTTGAACTCAGTTTTACAATGTCATGATGCTTGACTGCATATTCCTATTTTGAAACAAACAAAACTATATTTCTTTGTTTCTTCAGCAACAAAATACTACATGATTCTACGATTGGAAGCCCTGATAAGATGCATTGAGTAACACTGTAACATTTTTTAAACTGATAACTTCTAGTTCAACTGTAGCTAAATTAAGCTAATGCCCAACAGAAATATAGAGAAAAGTTCAACGTGTTTGAATAAGGGAAAGAGAAGAAGATTCCTGTTTGTATCTGCTTGACCTGATCAAGTGAATACTAATGCATTGCGTGACCGTGTCACAACTGGTTGGGTCTATTATTGTGAAGGGGTGCACCTTTTTCAGTTGATTGTCAACATGTCCGAACAGCCGAGACAAGGTCGCCGTTTGACATCTCACTGTCAAGAAATCGTCAGCAATATCCTAACTTTCTTTAAAAATGAAGCTACAGATAGTTTAATGTTTTCGATTCGGGCTTTTAGGCAGCAGCAACTGATGTTTCCAGTGCAACCAGGGGCCGAATAGCAACATTGATAACATTCTCTGCTCCCCTCTTTAATGAAGTAAACTCGACCTGCCATTTGTGCCTTTTAACCTCCCAGGTCATGCATATGTAGAGTAGCTCAGGTCAAGCTGAACAAGTTTTAAGTTGCATGAATATCGACCTAATCCTTCAACATAAAAATGGACCCCAAATCTGCCCTCAGGAACAGCCATCTTGTCTGGCCAGCTTGTCACACTGCCCGAAAGTACTATGGCATATGATTAAGCTAGGAAGAACTAAGTACTTTCAAAGTTTGGCACAATCTAAAGATTTAAAAATAATTGCAAACAAAACCTAAACTCTTTGACCTTAAAGAAGTGAAAATTGACTACCATTTGTTCCTGTCTGATACCTAATTTCCTTCTATGGAGCTGTTGATAAAACAGCCGCCCAAACTGGGCAGGGTTCCACTGCAATAGATAGCCAGCTAACAAGTTTCCTGATTCATGGATCAAGGAACTAGATGTAGAGAAAGCTGTACAACAATTATTGGCACTTCATTTGGTCCTCTGTGGGGATTCTGGGAAAGCACAGGTCCCAAGTACCCCATGCTAGCAGACTAAACAGGATTGGGTGGTCACAACGACTTCTGATTGGTTGACGCCTGGCATGTCCAATATGTGCGCATTCACCTCGACTTGTTCCAGAAAGCAGTCAAAGCGCAATGGAACTGGCAAGTCTAGGCTAGAGGAAGAGACTTGCAATAGTCACAGATGTTACAATAGTCACTTCATGGAACAAAGAGTGTCCTCATTCCACACTCTGATCATCACCAGTGTAAGTTAAAGAACAGGAATTGAAATAATCTTAGCGCTAAGATCACAATGTGGAACTACGCCCTGGTTCCATTTCACAAAGCGATGCCAACACTATGTCGTAAATCCATGTTAAGAGGATTTACGATCGTCTCAATTGAAAGATCAGTTTGTGAAATGTCCTGGTTGGCTTAGTGTCACTGTAATCGAAGAGCGATGCACACATGGATGGACATAACAGGCCACCGTAGTATTGCTGTAACATTGCTGTCTACGGCATAACACAACATTCACTCATGCATCTGAAATATTTTGTTTTACGTTCCTGAAACAAGATACGAGAAATGTGATGTAACACAATGGGATTCCTATTTTTCAACAGAATCTGCCATTTAAGCCACCTGTTCTGTTATCTATTTCACTAGGAAAGTAGTAGTAAATACAACAGAGGAAACATTAACTAAATCACTAAAATTGACGGAGGTTATTACCCAAGACCAGATCAGTTTTCAATTTACATACAAGTTCATGAGTAGTACTAATCAACTTTACATTGGATCAACATAGAGTTGGACAGCTTTACTGAAACAAGTAATAATATCCACAAATGTTAACTCTATGTTTTGAGATAAACAAATATATATGTTATTCACCTTGCAAGACAAAGTCTTCTTTATAAAAGTGAAATTGGCTACTTTTTCAGAACTTGAATCAAACTGATCTGGTCTAAAATACTCATGGAAAGAAAATAAAGGATTTTGCTCAGTTAAAGCCATCTAGTAGTAGAAAATTTAAGAAATAATTGTGACCATTCAACCCACAAAAATATAACTTGAATTAACTATGCCCAGCTTCCTTACAAGAAAGCGTGAAGCAAACACAAGCTTGTAAAGTCCGAAGTATCAACAACTGGATGTAGATTGTAACACGTCAACAATACACCTGTAAGGCAAAATACACCCAGCCTCTCATTGGCTCAACCCACAGGGTCAGGGGTCAGGGGTCATACTTGGGTCACTTCACAACCATCCCACTCATTGTCTGATTCCGTATCCGAGAGATCGTCGTCACTGAAGCCCCCAAGGGACACACCCTCCGCGCTCCCTGATACGGAGGCGGTATCGCTGCCCCCTTCGCCGCCCCCCATCCGGTGATTGTTTAAAGCATTATCTGGCGGCATGAGGAGAACTCGGTTGGGTATAGAGTGTTCGCTTAGACTCAGCTTGGTCACAGAACTTGACAGAGTGCTACTGCTGCTGCAATCCATGGGCTGTGTTTGAGGTACCCACAGTTTGTCCGAGGTCTGTGACCGAGGCTGTGTGTACTCGTCCCCTCTCTTGCATGTCTTGCAGATCATATTGTCAGCACTTTTACTGCGTTCCAGGTTCGGATTTGGTTCCACCTCCTTCATTGGTGAAAAGATTACTTTCACCTAAAAGTGTAAAGCATAGAAATGATGAACCAGTGTTTAGTTTAAAAATGTGGACCGACAAGTAATAGTTCTTGTGTAAAGCATAGAAATGATGTACCAGTGTTTAGTTAAAAAACATGGACAGACAAGTAATATTTCGTGTGTAAAGCATAGAAATGATGTACCAGTGTTTAGTTTAAAAACATGGACAGACAAGTAATATTTCTTGTGTAAAGCATAGAAATGATGTACCAGTGTTCAGTTTAAAAACATGGACAGACAAGTAATATTTCTCATGTCTCAACCAAAATACAATCCTTTCTGTGAGGGATTTATCCAGAATTCTAAAAAGATGGCCTCTTGGAACAATTAGGGAAAAAATCTTGTACAAATTGTTCAGTGAAGTACTTCTCACCTGTCCCAAACCGTCACTAGTTTTACTGTTTAACAAATTTGGGAATATTTACTGACATTTCCAGCTGTGTTTGAGCTGAATATTGAATTTCTTGAATATCTGAGCAAGTCCAGATAAATCCCTGATTCTACTTTTAGATATGCTTTGTTGTTTTATGCTTCTGCAAGCAATATCCAATGCACTAGCCCCTGCAAGTAACAAAGTACTAGGAAAACCAGTGCCTCCAACGCACCCCAATCTCGGAGTACAATGACACACAATCTCTGCTATGTGAGTCAACAAGTTACAAGCATCCTATCCCACCTGGAACATCTCAGAAGCCCTGTTAGATTTAGGACTCACCTTAAAATTAGGGCTAAAATTTCTATGTGACTTGTCCTTGTTAGCTCTGTCGAGTTCCGTCTTGGGCAAGGTAAGCGTGAGGTAGCCCTGGTTGTACTCCTCCCCTGTGTGGTCCCCCCCATCCTCCCTCACTGACCCCCCACTGAGCCTCTGTCTGGCCCCGTTCAGCTGGTCGCAGGCCTCCCACTCGTTAATGAAGAACGTGTTGAACCAGAAGTGGAACATCCTCTCCTGAAAATGGCCATATATTATGAAACGTGCGTGACTCAATCAGATTGGTAGTAAACTAATGATAATCAAGGAATTCAAGCATAAATACTTCATGTCCTAACATGTCCTAATTTCAATTCCAAACGAAATACAATCAATGGTCGGACAGCCATATCAGACTTCTTCACTCAATCAGCAAATTTTAAATGGAAAAATGAAAATCTTCATCAGCTTACGAGGTAAGCAGTAATAGAATAACACCAGAAGCAAGCGAGCGAATATTGCTTAATAGTTCTGTAACGATGCATCAAACTATCGATGGAATGCTATTGTTGAGTCTCCGATAACAATTAATCGATGGTAGAAATGAAAAACTATGCATCGATAATTTGTGTGACTATCGATAGTTTAGTTATTGATTTTTCGTTGATAAATGTGCAGTGCAAAATACGGGAAATACCAGATTCGTTCACTTTCAATTTAGAGTTATCTGCCCGTTACCTCTTAAACAAAGACGGCATGCGACATTATGTTTTAACTGTTTACTTGATCCGGGTTTCAAGTCACTTGTCAGTTATTAAAAGGGACTGAAACTACTTCAACTTTTTTGTTTCTTCATATATACTTTACATTCATTTGGGAAATGACTTCAAATGAGAGAATCCAAGGAGAAAAAAGACTATTGTAATAGTACTGCAATAGTTGGCTGCGAGAGACTATCACTATCATAATCGTATGTTGCAATAGACTATCGCTATCGCAATAGTTGTTTTCCTATTCAATAGTCACCCCTATTGCTTAACATCATTTGTGGCAGAACGCCGGAAGTACATACCTTCTTCCCATATCTTGTTTTATGAAAAAATTCAATCTTGATGTCCCCGCACAGCGGAACAGGCTGTGTCATGGGCATAAGAAAGGATTCATCTTTCTTCTTGAAGCCATCAAAGTTCCTCGATGAAAATACTTTCACTTTAAGCTGGTAGACTTCGAAGCAAATAGCTGTGGAATATAAATATACAAAACAGTGGAACAAGCTTCAAGGATGCCATGAAAATGGAGTGGTAAGATATTACAATGTGATGATACAGCCACAAAGATCCCATATTGAAACAAAGTAAGTGAGGTGAGGTGAGGTGAGGTGAGGTGAAATTGGGTTTAACGTTGTGCTTGAGAATATTTCGCTCATATGACGATGTGCATGCGTGTGTATGTGTATGTGAGGCTGCTTGTACTAGCCCAGACTTAAGCTGGTTTTATAGTGCTAGCCCACTGAGATAGCACGCCGCAGTGAAGCATGAATACCCCACTCAGACACATTATACTGACTCTGAGCCGACCAGTCCTTGTTGTACCCATTAATGCCGAGCGCCAGGCAGGGACCAACAAGTACCATATTTTAACGTCTTTTGGTATGACGCGGTCGGGGATCGAACCCGCGACCTTCCGCCCTCTGGGCGGACGCTCTAACCACTACACCACAGAGGCGGTCTTGAAACAAAGTAAGTGGATTCATTAGCTCGACCACTGGTCTGTAAGAAGGCTGTTAGTTTATAAACCTCACACTTTCTACTTATGCTTCACCAGCTTACAGATTTGTTGTATCCATATCAAGAGCTCTGCTCCTGTATCCGCCCCCGACCAACTTCAAGACAGAGCTGGATGTAACCTTAAGAAGCCTCTGTGTAAGACATTTCTAACAGGCCATATTTTCTCTGTTAGAGAAAACAGCAGTTCAGAAAGAGTATGCAACTGCTAAGGGACTATTATTGGAATGTCTTGTTCATTGGCAATGGCTCAGTCTCAGAAAAACAATTTGACTTGAGTTCAATATCGATCAGCACCCACTCTACTGTGTTTGTAAGTGTTTATTATGGCAAATACGGTAACATTATCCTGACAGCTTAACAACGTTACAGATTTCATCATCTGGAAACTGACGCCAAACTGTCCAGCGTGAAATCATTAACTGAAACATCTGACAATCTGGAACCTGTTTGTCGTCACAGTGCTTGTGAACTTACACACTGATCCCACGTTGACCATGGGCACCGTTTCAAACTTGATCTGTTTGAGCAGTAGGGTGACTGGCTTATACTCCAGCTCGCTGCGCAGTAGCTCCCCGTAGTAGCGGACGTACCTCCGCTGGCTGGGTATCGTTACTCCCTGCAACAGATCATCATATCACTATCAGGGAAGGAGGATCGGACATAATTTTCCTACATAGTAAACAAAAGTTATAACAAAGTCAAAGGGACCACAAATGTTTTTACTTATTTCAATGTATGAATTTAAACTGAAATGGACAGGACACAAAAACAAACTTTTGCTATGTCCATCATTGTCATAAGCAAAATGGTTGTAAACAGAGTTGAGTATTTACTCGTCTGCATCTGAACGATGTAAAGTGCTGATAGGATGTCATCAAGTCAGCTGCTACATGTTTTGAGTCTGAGTAACCTAATTACACGATGAACTCAGGTTTCTTCTCATTTCACTCCACAATATTTGAATGCCATAAAGAGTTATCTCCCTTACCACACAAATTCCAAGCCCCATTCATAATATTCACTTAACAAACACTAATACATGTTTTAAGTTTGGTTGTTTGTTGGCTAATAACAAGTTGAGTTTGACAGACAGACAGACAGACAGACAGACAGACAGACAGACAGACAGACAGACAGACAGACAGACACCCATTCTTAAATAGCTTCATGGCAATAGATCATAAGCTGTTTTCCCAATGTGAGAAAAATCTCTAAAATCAGAAAAAGATCTAATACTGAGATGTGGAACTCCAATTGAGAAAGATTGCTTATACAAACACCTGGACATCACTAGCTCCAGAAAGATTTGAAGTTTAAAGGGCAAGTCTACACTGTCCACATTTCATCACCTCTGTGGTCCCATTTTTAGTTGAAATCCTTTTCCCCCGCAGAAATGCATTTAATACTAAAAGAAATCAATCACAAAAAAGGGTTGTGTCAATGGCTAAACTCACCTTATAATCTCTGGTCCTTGTTTTTCCATAGTATTTGAGGGCCTCATCCGCATCCTGGAACCTCTTCCTGTGCAGCATGTAGGCACAAATCATCACTCCAGTCCGACCCTGAATAGCAGAAACAAACATTATACATGTCATCCAAGTAGTCCAGAACCAACAACATATGCCGTGTAAATGACACGTTCAGAGCCTCAAGTACAAACACTTGACCTAAAGATGTCCAAATGATGAATGTTTCAACATAACCTCCTTCACAGCTGTTACAATGCTTTATTTATCCATCGGCATATCTTCCTGATGAAGTAGCGCAATTAGCCTTTAGAAGAGAGTCCCTCATGATAATAGCTTATGTATCCCTGAACACAATGGCCATAACCTTCCCAGTAAATGGGACAGCCTTTGCCTTCTTTGGCAGTGTTGATGTCAAAGGCTTCTACCCATTTGATTCTGTTTTTCCAACTCTGGTAGCAAGTTGTGAAATCACGTTATTACAAAAACCTTTCTGGATCAGCTTCAAGCAGAGCTAGATTATCATCATACATGTTGTTCCAAACAAGCTGATACATTCATTATTGCCAAGGTTTCTGTGATTCTCTCCCCTGAATTGCTCTGAACAAGCAATATGACAAAATTTGGAAGTGGAGTCTTTGAGGCACTGCAGGTCAACTCTGCAGCCCATCTCCTTACACTGGCAAAAACAAGGGCATCCTTTCTTCTTTGATGGCTTTTAGTGTTAAGCCCTTTTACTGCAAGTATCTAATCACCGCATGTTGTCCAATTTCCAAACACAGACATTATTTTACTGACTTGACACAGAGAAACAATTTGCTGAATTTTTTGTGGATATATCACTATGACAACATGTACACTAAACAATGGTTACAACAAAATCAAGAGGACCACTCCTTTTAGTTTGTTCTAATCACAGTTTGTTAAACACAGTTCCACTAAAATATACTGCAAGTGTCTTGGATAAAACCCCGGTTGATATAGGTGTCATATTTTCCTACCTTGCCAGCTTTGCAGTGAATAGCTGCTATATTCTCCTTGTCCTGCAACAGCCATTGGTCCAGATCATCACAGAATGGCTTAATCAGCTCCAGACGTGGTGGATTGTGGTCATCAAATGGGAACCTAGCAACACGCTGGTGGAATTTGGATGCATCATAGTCTCTCTCATGACACCTGCAAATAGTGGACAGGTGTTTCTAAGAGTGGTAGCATGAGTTTAACTCTAGAGTGATTGATTGATTGATTGATTGATTGATTGTTGCGTTACGTTGATTCTGCAACATGACAGCTTTCTTTGCAGGATACATCTGAAGATAACAGTAAAGGAGATTTGAACCCCATGAAAGGTTCTCGATTTAAGAAATGGAAACCAAAATTAGCAACATCAGCCAGTATTGAGTATAAATGATAAAAACCCAAACTATCTACCCACTCTCCCTAGATCGAGGATGGGAATGAAGAATCCAAAGCTCTACTTCAATCAGTTTTATGATTACAAGACAGGGGTTCCTGAATGTTAATTTTTGTGGATATTATTAACAGCCCTTATGATTCATGTTTCAGAACTCCAGAATTTACACCAAATACATCACTATCACCCAATTAATTTTAATTGCTTATAAATGTATGCATGATAAATTTAAAAACCTGATGGTATAACTGAATGTATTCTTTTCACCTTGTGTACCCTGTGTATCTGTACAGATTGTATTTACAGATCACCTGCAGGCATCACATAAACATGAACTCAGTGAATAATGTGAAGACAGGTGCTACCAAATGCTCATTGGTAGCTAGTGCTCTTCTGAGTTTATGCGACCCGTGAAGGTTAGAATGGATCTTCAGTAACCCATGCTTTAGTAAGAGGAGACTAACAGGATCAGATGGTCAGGCTCGATGACTTGGTTGACACATGTCATCAGTTCCCATTTGTGCAGATTGATGCTCATGCTGTTGATCACTGGATTGTCTGGTCCAGATCTTATTGCTGAGTGTAAAACTAAACTCACTCACTCTGAGTTTATGCAATGTGTTATATTTATTTCTTATAGTTTAACGCCGCACTCATCAAGATTCCAGCTATATGGCGGTGGTCTGTAAATAATCAAGTCTGGATCTGGCAATCCAGTGATCAACAGCATGAGGTTCAATCTTCGCAATTGGGATACGATGACATGTGTCAACCAAGTCAGCGAGCCTGACTACCCGATCCTGTTAGTTGCCTCTTACGACAAGGGTTACTGAAGATCAATTGTAACCTGGATCTTCACTAGTTGCAATATGTTAAACAGCACACAAATAGATATATTAAAAACCACCTGAAAGAGCATTTCAAGCAGAGTTTAAAGAAATGTCCACTCAATGGCATAAAAATAAATATGCATGACCATGAGGTGAGGTGAGGTGAGGTGAGGTGAGGTGAGGTGAGGTGAGTCGAGATGAAATTGGGTTTAACGTCGTGCTTGAGAATATTTCGCTCATATGACAACGTGCATGCGTGTATGTGAATGTGCGGCTGCTTGTACTAGCCCAGACTGATGCTGGTTTTATAGTGCTAGCCCACTGAGATACCATGCCGCAGTGAAGCATGAATACCCCACTCAGACACATTATACTGACTCCGAGCCGACCAGTCCTTGTTGTACCCATTAATGCCGAGCGCCAGTCAGGGACCAACAAGTACCATATTTTAACGTCTTTTGGTATGATGCGGTCGGGGATCGATCCCGTGACCTTCCGCTCTCCGGGCCTACGCCATGACCATGAGAGAAGAAACACATACATACATCTTCGAGTTCAACACATAAGGTCTAACTCTACACGTCACTATTGAAACTTCCGCACTGGGGTAACCACGACCTGAGTATCAGTCAGTACGGGATATATCACGCACATATATGTTAGATTGCATTTGTCATTGATCGAGCACCAGGTTCTGATCACGAAAGGAACAAAAAAGGATAATATTTGACACAAAACAACTTGGTAATTAGAGATCTTGTTAAAATTGGAATACCAGTGATCTAAATAATGTGCACATTTTATGTTTATGAAAGGATCCAAGTACTGCCAAACATTGGGAAAAGTAGATATTGCATGGCTGCCGGATCTATTTTCTTCACTATCATAAGATTAAAAGAGTATGTGATAAAATGAACACACTGAATGCCTAAATGAATACCAAATGATAACTTAAGAGGAAAATACCAAATTATCCTGAATCCCGGTACACACATTCAAGTATGGCAATCTTAATTTCATTCAGTTCTACACATGACAATAAGGACTATTTATGGATCTGCTTCTTATTCAAATTTATTTTCATAGAGGCTGGACAAAGTTTATTTCCTGTTCGAGATATTTTAAAATGTACATATTGTGTGCCCTAGTGACAGGTGGCCGATTGTTGGCAACTTCCTGCATTCAACCACCTGGAAACACCACTTTCACTGGAGTTCAAAGCAAGGAAAGTGTTACGAAACAATCAATACACAAGGAACAACATCAATATTTATATTACACTTTTGCAAACATTTACTATTTCCTGGTTAGAAGAAAGACGAGAAGTGAGTGTTTGGGAAAGTGAGTGAGTGATGGATAAGAGTGATTGTTTGGGAGAGTGGTTGGTGGATAAGAGTGAGTGTGTGTTTAGGAAAGTGAGTGAGTGAGTGGATGTAGTGAATGAGTTTTTGGGAGAGGGAGTGAGTGAGTGGCAAATAAGAGCGAGTGAGTGGTGGATAAGAGTGAGGGAGTGGTGGATAAGAGTGAGTGTGTCCATGTGGGGAATCAAACCCGGGTCTTCGGTGTGACGATTGAACGCTTTAACCACTAGGCTACTCCACCGCCCCTGAGTCGGTAAGAGTGAGTGAGTGAGTGAGTGAGTGAGTGAGTGAGTGAGTGAGTGAGTGACCATTATGACATGAACTGGAAAGCATTTTTTAATTCATGTTTTCGACTTGTGGATTCAAACACAAAAAAGAAAGATCTGGTAATTTACCCGGTCTAACCATGAATGTATGTGATAAACTTGGTCTAACCATGAATGTGGGAGATAAACTTTGTCTAACCATGAATGTGGGTGATAAACTTAGTCTAACCATGAATGTGGGTGATTTACCCGGTCTAACCATGAATGTGGGTGATTTACCCGGTCTAACCATGAATGTGGGTGATAAACTTTGTCTAACCATGAATGTGGGTGATTTACCCGGTCTAACCATGAATGTGGGTGATAAACTTGGTCTAACCATGAATGTGAATGATAAACTTGGTCTAACCAGGAATGTGGGTGATAAACTTGGTCTAACCATGAATGTGGGTGATTTACCCGGTCTAACCATGAATGTGGGTGATAAACTTGGTCTAACCATGAATGTGAATGATAAACTTGGTCTAACCAGGAATGTAGGTGATAAACTTAGTCTAACCATGAATGTGGGTGATAAACTTAGTCTAACCATGAATGTGGGTGATTTACCCGGTCTAACCATGAATGTGGGTGATTTACCCGGTCTAACCATGAATGTGGGTGATAAACTTTGTCTAACCATGAATGTGGGTGATTTACCCGGTCTAACCATGAATGTGGGTGATAAACTTGGTCTAACCATGAATGTGAATGATAAACTTGGTCTAACCAGGAATGTAGGTGATAAACTTGGTCTAACCATGAATGTGGGTGATTTACCCGGTCTAACCATGAATGTGGGTGATAAACTTGGTCTAACCATGAATGTGAATGATAAACTTGGTCTAACCAGGAATGTAGGTGATAAACTTGGTCTAACCATGAATGTGGGTGATTTACCCGGTCTAACCATGAATGTGGGTGATTTACCCGGTCTAACCATGAATGTGGGTGATTTACCCGGTCTAACCATGAATGTGGGTTATAAACTTGGTCTAACCATGAATGTGGGTGATAAACTTGGTCTAACCATGAATGTATGTGATAAACTTGGTCTAACCATGAATGTATGTGATAAACTTAGTCTAACCATGAATGTGGGTGATTTACCCGGTCTAACCATGAATGTGAATGATAAACTTGGTCTAACCAGGAATGTAGGTGATAAACTTGGTCTAACCAGGAATGTGAATGATAAACTTGGTCTAACCACAAATGTAGGTGATAAACTTGGTCTAACCATGAATGTGAGAAGTATCTGATCATTGTACCACTGTGGTTCATGCCTGAGTCGCCTGTATCTTGTGACACGAGGGGCATGAGAATCCAAGAGTCGAACCAGTGTTGTGTCATAGAGAACCAGTATCGTGTTATAGAGAACCAGTGTCGTGTTATAGAGAACCTGTGTTGTGTTATAGAGAAAGTGTTGTGTTATAGAGAACCAGTGTTGTGTTGTAGAAACCAGTGTTGTGTTATAGAGATCAGCAAGTTCATTCACACCCTCTGGAGGCTCTGTGAGTAACTGTGAAGACTGAAGATCCCTAGCCAAGTCTTCACGGGAAACAAGCTTAAGGTTCCTACACTGGACTTCAACAGGTTTCTCAGCTGGTTTGAGAAAATTGAGTTCTACAACTATCCCAAAGTGATCAGATGATTGTCTGTCTTCAACAAGGATGTTTTGCACCACATCTCTCTATGCCGAGCAACTATCCAATCAAGTGTGTGACCTTTCCTGAGTAGGTTAAAAAACAAGCTGGGTAAGGCCATGTGACTCCAGCAGCTTGACACATTTCTTGACCTCAGGTTTACATGCACTGTCATAATGAATGTTAAAATCACCCATCAATAGCAAGTTTCCATTCTTCAAAGTGATATCATCCAGTAGCTTTGAAAAATCATCATAAAACTGGCCAAAGGAAAACTTGTTTGCCTTTGATGGCGGTGGCCTATATAGGCAGAACAAGCGTAGTGCTTGACTATTTACTGTTAATAACGTTTCCATCATTTCAAAAGAAGAAAATGAATATGTGGAAGTTCTATACACTACCAAGTTCAAGAGTGTTTTATAAATAACAGCCACACCTCCTCCAGAAGAATGTTCGCGTGGAACATGTTGAAAAAAGTAAGCAGAAGGAGTCATTTCCTTAATCTTGGGCTCATCACCTTGACTCTTCAGCCATGACTCTGTGATGAACAGAATATCCACACTGTGTTCAATAAGTGAATCAGCAATGTACAGGGACTTACTCCTGGCTGACTGTGCATT